ATTAGTCAATTGCAAAAGGCGGCCTTACTAGGAACTGCTTCCATCCTGCGACGATATCTGTAATACCATCAAACATCCACATCTGCCTATCCCAGGTCCTGGGTAAGGACTCGATAGGTAGACAAAATGCCAAATCCAGTCTGAACATCTGGCTGACTGTGCGATGATCCATAATAATAATAATAATAATAATAATAATGATGATGATGATGATGATGATGATGATGATGATGATGATAATAATAATAATAATAATAATGTTGGAAGGAACCTTGGAGGTCATATAGTCTAACCCCCTGCTCAGGCAGGAAACCTATACTATTTCAGACAAATGCTATGGACATGCCCGTCAGATTTTTAGGCAGCCAACATGGTGGCAATCTGAGAGATGTCAATTTCTTCAAGAACAATGAAAAGGTCCTTGTCCCTTCCACAGCTGTAATTAAGAATCTTAGCCTCCATAGCTGACAGCAGGTCCAGCACAACATCCCAAGTCTTTCTGGGGTTCAAATAATTGCCATGGAGATTGTAACCCAGATGGATGTTGGGAAGGAGTTGGAGATCCTAGTTGATATATTGGATGGCCAAAAGAAAGCAGACGACTTTCCAATAGCAGGCGGATTCTCTTCTGGAGAAGAGAATGATATGGATAAGATGCATGATAGGAACATCATGCATTCATTCTTCATTTAGTCCGTATTACTCTTTATGGTAATCCTTCAGGTTCAAGGAAGACACACTAATGTGAAGTTCCATCTATGGATATGGAGGTGGCTCTGCAGTCCTGATCTGTAGGTCCAGAGCTTAGTACAATGGGGCACTGAAAGTACATGTTGTAGTAGCTGTGGGTGTTTTTCTGTGATGTTATGCAGTTTTGTATCAGTTTTTGTTGGCACTTGCCTTCAAGGCTGGTGGAGGTACATAGTATAGGGCTCACCAGAAGTTCTGTCAGGAACTGCAGCTTCCAGTTCTATTAAATTAAATTCCTAAATTATAAATAAAATAAAATATAAAAAATTAGTGTATAATGAGCCATAACATGGTTTTAGCTGATTGAAGTGAGTGGACTCCTGCCTGAGGCAATCTACATTATGATTGGTTGCTAGGTGTAAAGGGCAAGTTTCCTCTTTTTCCCGCCCTTTATTCTTCTGTGTGCTTTGTATGCTGTTCTGAGACTTACCTGATGATTGTAGTGATGTGCCCATCTTATTTGATGTAAATCTAGATGTTATATTTATTTATATAAAACTACAAATTCATTTCAGTGCCTCTGATTTCATTTGGACATTGGCTGAGCAGTAGACCAGTAGGAAAGGGAGGTAGGCCCAGATACCTGGGCCAATAATCCAGAACAGAAATTTTGAGGCAACAGCAAGAGGTATCATATAACCTCTAATAAAATTATGTTTTTGCCTAAACAATAGTTGAAGAACAATGTGATAATTTTGTTCGATATTTTGGAATCTTTGAAACAATATAATGAAAAACATAGGCCTTTTGACAGTTTGAACTGGATAGGCATTTTCCTTTCGTGGCTATTTTCATTATTCGTGTAACGCTGTTCCATAGGTATCGTACATGTTACGTAATTGTATAAAATCTATTTATGACTCATTTAAGTTCTTGAATGCTTGGCTAAATAAATCATTTTTTTTCTTCATAGTTACTGGCTTCTGGACACAACTTGGAATAGGTTTAAATAAAAAGCTATTTCCACACTATAAGAACATGTTTTGTGGGAATCTCTTGAGGGACAAGGGAAATACGTACATGCTAACTAAAAAACTATGTGATAAAAGGAGGAGAGTGCAGCTGCATAATAGTCCCAAAAGAAACTTAAAACAATGTGTCCCAATGTATCCGGCTGTTATTTATTACTTATTAAATTTATATATTGCCCATCCCACAGTTGGAGGCAACTGTAAAGATGATTGCAGATGTGTACTTTCAGATTTACACTATTAATACATTAATCTGGTCATGTTTCCTATCTGGATTTACCTTGGAGGGCTGACAGAATATTGTTAGGCTGTCTTTTCTGTAAACGATTTCAAGCTGGCGTCAGATTTTAAAGCCACCATGTAAACCCCTCCAAAAATAATCTGATGTTCGCAATTGACATTCAACCCAAAGTTCATTAACTATAAATCATACCAACCGTATTTCATTAATTTAAATTAAGGCTATAGATAAATGTACCAAAAAAAATCCATTTTAGCTTTTGTCTGGGACCTTGTCATTCCATAGGAAAACAGAATTTGGCACCTTCACTGGAGAAAAACTTTTGCATGTGGGTTTATAGGGCTTCCCACAGTTGTGGTTTCTTTTCAGAACTCTTCGTCTGAAGCGTCTTCCATAGTATAGCGTACAGGTTTATGGTGAGGAACCAGTGACACAAATAATATTTTAGACTGAAAAATACTTTCACATGCCTATTGGTTAACTCTAGTCACTGTCTCACACAGTAGATCTGAATTCAGTTATTTTCATCACCCTGAAGTAGTAACTCCTTTGTGAATTGCAGCACTTTCTGAATTGCAGCAAAAGCTCCCAACCATTCCTACAAGTGATTGTACTAATTTTATTACAGGCTCTGCACTTTCCCAAAGTCCCTTTCCTCAGTTGATGCTTGACTTTTTTTGATCCCGGCAAGATTTAAATGTTCCTTTTACTGTTTTATTTGGAGCAAGAACAAGGGAAGGGAAGAGAGAGAAAATCACCACACATTTAGGTACACACAGCCTCTGTGTTATTTTTTTTCCAACTCGGCATCAGTGAAATCTCCTTCTCTTTATAGATTTCTTCCATAGCTACTGCTTGTCGCTTGCATCCCATTTAGAAGGGTGGAATGTCAGATTGTAAAAAGATTAAACAAAACAAGAAAAATTATCCCAAAGATGCTTTTTCACGAGGCAACTGGACTTTGTTTTTCTTTGAAGACCTTTCGCTTCTCATCCAAGAAGCTTCTTCAGAGCTGATGAGAAGTGAAATGTTTTCAAAGAAAAACAAGAAAGCGCAATTGCCTCGTGAAAAAGCATCTTTGGGATAACTATGACCTGGATTGACCAAGAATCTCCATATTTAGCTATGCACTTTGGAAAACAAGAAAAGGTTGAACTCTAAGAGACTGAGGATTGAATTTCTGCCTGCACGTCTACTCTACTGGAAGGAATGCTAAGTTTTCTCTTGTTGAGATAAAGCAGATATATATTGATCAGATGGAGTTGCTTCAAATGATTGGGAAATCTGCAACTGTTAAATAATAGGCTGGACAAATCACTGAAAGGGCAATTAATGTCCCTAATCTCCACTGATACTCACTTTTCAGTTCTAAGCTCCTACTTAGCCAAAACCACAACAGGATTTGGGATCCACCTTGTTCTGATTTGCACTAGAAAGGCAAATTATACATGCTACCTAACAAGGTCTAGTATTTATTTGGATTATTGCCCAAATGCTCCTTGCATGAGATGTTAGATGACTACTGGTAGTCCTCGACTTACAACAGTTCATTTGATGACCATTCAGTTCCAACAGTACAAAAGAAAGTAACTTGTTACTGTTTTTCACACTTGACAGTTGCAGTACCCCCATGGTCACATGATCAAAAGTCACGTGCTTGGCAACTGACTCATATTTAAAAAGGCTGCAGTGTCCCTGGGTCATGTCAACACCTTTTGTAACCTTACAATAAGCAAAGCCAATGGGAAAGCCAGATTAAATTAACAACCGGGTTACTATCTTACCAACTGCAATGATTCATTTAACAAATGTATCAAGAAAAGTCATAAAATGGGCAAAACTCATTCAACAATTCTCTTGCTTAGCAACAGAAATTTTGGGATCAATTGCAGTCATAAGCCGAGGACTACCTGTATTTCTACTGAAGCTCTTCCCACATTTCCTGTATTGATATGGCTCCGCCTATAGGTGGATCTTTCTATGGCAAGTAAGAGCGTAATTTCTCGCAAAGCTCTTTCCACACGCCATGCATTCATACGGTTTTTTCCCCATATGGGTCCTTTTATGGGAAGAAAGATCACAATTCTTCTTAAAGCCCTTTCCGCATTCCACACATTGATATGGCTTCTCTCCTGTGTGGATGCTCTTGTGGGAATTAAGATTACTGCTACAAGTAAAGGCCTTTCCACACTCCATGCATTTATATGGCTTCTCTCCTGTATGGGTCTTTTTATGAGAGGTGAGGTCACAATTCCACCTAAAGCCCTTTCCACATTCCACACATTGATATGGCTTCTCTCCTGTGTGGATCCTTTTATGGGAACTGAGATCAGAATTCCACCTAAAACCCTTTCCACATTCCACACATTGATATGGCTTCTCTCCCGTGTGGATCCTTTTATGGGAAATGAGATCAGAATTCTTCCTAAAGCTCTTTCCACACTCCACACATTGATATGGCTTCTCTCCTGTGTGGATGCTCTTGTGGGAATTAAGATTACTGCTACAATGAAAGGTCTTTCCACACTCCATGCATTGATATGGCTTCTCTCCTGTGTGGAACCTCTTGTGGGAATTAAGATTACTGCTACTTAGAAAGGTTTTTCCACATTCCATGCATTGATACGGCTTCTCTCCTGTGTGGATTCTCTTGTGGGAATTAAGAGTACTGCTACAAGTAAAGGTCTTTCCACACTCCATGCACTGATATGGCTTCTCGCCTGTATGAATCCTTTTGTGAGAAATGAGACTCCAATTCTGACTAAAGCCCTTTCCACACTCCATGCATTGATAGGGCTTCTCCCCTACGTGGATCCTTTTATGGGAGGCAAGATTAGAATTCCACCTAAAGCTCTCTCCACATTCCACACATTTGTACGGCTTCTCTCCTGTATGGATCATCTTGTGGGAATTAAGACGACTATTACGAGTAAA